TAATAATAATAATAATAATAATAATAATAATCTTTATTTATACCCCGTCACCATCTCCCCGATGGGGACTTGGAGCAGCTTACATGGGGCCAAGCCCGGACAACATATTACAGCAATAAAATCAAAAACATAAACAGCGAACAACAACATCATCAAAATTACAAAAAAAAAAAAAACCCCAAAACAACCAGTCATAAAATAACATTCTAATAAGCACAGTCACAATAACGATAACAATGGGCGGGCTGCATGTAAAGGATAAGACAATTAACAAGTGTAATGAGATAAAATAGGAGCAGAATATTTACGGGGAACTCATAAACACACAGAGTTGTGAGGCTAAACTTCCCATATGGAGGGCGCGAGCTGCAGTAACAAAAAACGTTGAGGAGTGCAAAATGTCGTGGTGTGCACCTATTCACCAAAGGCGCAGCGGAAGAGCCAGATTTTGAGATTCTTTCTGAACGTTTCTAGTGAAGGGGCTTTTTTAATCTCTCCAGGTAAAGAGATCCAAAGTTGGGGAGCCACAGAGGAGAAGGTTCTCTCCCTTGTACCCACAAGACAAGCTTGTGAGATTGGTAGGGGCGAAAGGAGGACCTTCCCCAAAGATCTAAGGGCCCGGGTTGGACAGCAAATTGTTAATTCATTGCATTTTTTCTTCCAGGGAAAGAGGAGACATTTCTCCCGCTTTCTGATTCAGTTGCAAATACATGATCTTCTAATTTCCCTGGCATTACCCTTTAAAGTTGGAGTGCAGATTCTTTGCCTGTTGTACCCTTTCCCTCACTGACAGAAACTCAAACTGAACAACAAAACCCTCAACCCTTTTGGTTCTTGGCAGCTTTGGTTTCAGCAATTGAATGTGTCCAGTCCTTTCAGTGCAAATGCTGAGCACAACAGCATTCGCTTCCAAATGGCAGGCAAACAGAGGAAATTCTCATGATTTCATCTCCGTTGTCTCCTCCCTTTTGGGTGCGTGTGTTGTGGATGAGAAATGAAATTCCCCTTCAGCTGCGTTAACTACAACCAAAGTGAAGAAGAACAGCTGGAAAAGAAGTTTCAAAAACTGATTAAAAGCCCAGTCTCTCTTCTTTAAAAAATGGGGGCTGAAAATGCAAATGCAAATAGCTATTTTGTTTCGGCGTTATTCCAGGAACACTGAACCAGGATGGCCCTGTCTTCTGTTTCACAGAGATCTGTATTCTGTTTGCAGGGCCACCAGAGTACAATTCTCTATTTCATTTTTATTTGTTGAAGATAGGTAGGTGGGTGGATGGTATATTGCCAGGAACAAAGTCTCATCAAAGTAACTTGCTACTTCTGTCTCTAAAAGGTAAATTACTTGTCCAGGGCTAGTTTTACAATGAATAGCCTTAACAACAGAGAGCAGAAGTTCCTCAAGTAGTTTGTCAGGAGTTAATACCTAAATAGCAAATGGACCGAATAGTACATGGTCCATTTGGCCACAGTTTTTCCCCCCATGGTGAAATATTATTTACTAGCATTTGAACTACTGGTATATTATTGGTTTTAACTGTGCACATATATTACATATATATTAATATGACAGTTATATAGAGATCTGTGTCATCCTTTTCTCTCTCTTTTGTGATGTGAAAGTCCTGACATTGCATGTGATAAAAGGACTTTCCTTTGCGAATTTCATGAGCCTTTAGAGGTCTACTGTTTTTCCTGTGGTATGCTCTAGAAACAGCCTAAAATTAACATCAAGAAGTGTGCAGGCGGACAAGTGAACTGATTAATTATACCAGTTAGAATGCCCCATAGTTTCTTTCTTTTACATGTGACTAAACAGAACAACAATCAATGTCAGTTTGAATTAGTGTTTAGGAATACATAAGGGATCTGTAGGTGTTTTGAATAGTGACTGTTTTGCATTAATTTCTGCCCAATTTTCCTTTAAGTGGTCTAGTTTCAATGCTGATGAAAAATGGTTAAAAAATCAATAAACTCTCAAAATTGTGTTAATAGGAATTATGGAAACTCATTCTCTAGACTCCTAAGCGCAAACATACATCATGTAAGAGGCTGTAAATAAATAAGGGACAATTTTTAATGTCAGGAGTGATTTGAGAAACTGCAAGTCAGTCGCTTTTGGTGTGAGAATTGGCCATCTGCAAGGACATTGCCCTGGGGATGCCCAGATGCTTTGATGTTCTACCATCCTTGTGGGAGATTTCTCTCATATCACCGCATGAGGAGCTGGAGCTGACAGAGGGAGCTCAACCTGCTCTCCCCAGATTCAAACCTCTGACCTGTCCGTCATCAGTCCTGCTGGCACAAAGGTTTCATCCATTGCCCTACCAGGGGCTCCAGAATAAGGGGCATAAAGTAGGCAGACTGTGTAGAATTCAAAATCTTCACAATCACAGGCATTTTAAATATGTTAATTCAGCCTCAACTTTCTGACAACTATGGTTGTCTCCCTTACCCTACTCCTTCACTGATGGTTCTTGTCTGAATTGACCTTGTATACATTTTAGTTGTCTCCACCTGAAGTCAGTCTTAAAACAAAAACAGCAACACCTATATCAGACTAACATATTTTGTTGAGGCCAGTAATCTAGTGTAAGTAGTGTTGGGAAATGTGAGTGATAGTAGTGTATCTCATAAGCAATTAGTATTGGTAAGTAGAAGATGAACAACAAACTGTCCCACAGCATCATCGTTCCACAAAGTTTAGTAGAAAAATAAAGCAACTAATGTAGCTTTATATGCAAATACTAAAGCTTTCATGACATCTCATGATGATTGTCTCTGTAGCATGTGTCCTACGAACATGGAGATATTTGAGATAAAACCGAAAGTTACAAAATGGAAGATGAACAAACTCAGATTTACTGTGGACTAACTTCTTCAGGAAGAGAGACAGTGTTCCTATGACCAACAAACAGGAAATGCCATGGATTCATACCATGCCTAAATTCTAAGATCTGCAAATGAACAGCTATAGAGCTCGTTCCTTTTAACAAGTAGCACCTTCCACATGTCAAGGATTGACAGAAGCCAGTATAGTAGCTATTCCCAGTAGTACCTCCAGTTGTTTTGAACTACATCATCTCCAGCCAATATTGTCAATGGCTCCATTGGAGAAGGGTGCATTAGAACAAAACGCTTTTCTCTTGTTCTACCAGCGGTATTGTGTACACACATGTCATTTCTATTGCTAGAAGTAGCCCCCAAGGCATATAAGACAAATGTTTCTATTAATGAAGATATCTGTCTTCATCAAGATACAAAAGCAGTAGTGATAAAACGCCATTGTAATACATGCTATGATTTGGATTGAGGTTTTTATTCCACTGTGTCTGTAATAATTATGAAGAAGGGCAGATCGGTAACTTTTTGTCCTTCCAAAATTGAATTTTGTCCCATGCCACACTGCTAATAGAAGATTACACAAAAGTAATTCATTGAAGGTAATTTGCAATGGGTTAAACCCTTATGTCAGCAGGACTGAAGACCAAAGGTCAGAGGTATAAATCTGGGGAGAGCATGGATGAGCTCCCTCTGTTAGCTCTAGCTCCCCATGCAGGGAGATGAGAGAAGTCTCCCACAAGGATGATAAAACATCAGAACATCCAAGCATCCTCTGGGCAAAGTCCTTGCAGATGGCCAATTCTCTCACACCAGAAGTGACTTGCATTTTCTCAAGTAGCTCCTGACACACACACAAAATCATTGAAGGTAATCCAAACCTGAATGCTGGAGAGATCTTCAATATAAATATCTATTCCTGAGGTGAGGCTATAATAATAATAATAATAATAATAATAATAATAATAATAATAATAATTATTATTATTATTATTATTATTATTTAAACCCCTCCACCATCTCCCCAAGGGGACTCTGACTGCCTTACATGAGACCAAGCCCAACAATCAAAACAAAGCAAACATACAACATAAAATAATACAAAAAGTGTACAAGCTCCTTGTAAAACAGTGTATTGTTATAATCATGATTGCTAATCTATCCCATAGCTTGCAAACAGGCCTGCAGTTTGGCGTGGAAGTCTGGGGACACTCCCTTTACAACTTTCCATGAATCCTTAAAACCTATTCCAGACTTGTGGGAAGCTGTATGGAACCAGGTTTGGCGTGATTTGGAGGCCAGGTAGCTTGGGGAGGGAGGGGGTATGTTGGTAGGCTGCTAGCACAATAATGATTTTGAGCGAATAAGTTTAATAAAACATTTATCTATTAGAAAGCGCATCTGTTTTATAATAGCGAGTGAGGAATCTGCATATACAAGCGCCTATTGTTTTAAACCACACAAAGGATTATTTTCATGCATTAACAAACTCCAACGTACCTGTTTCAAATTTCTTGTGTGTAAAATGAACTTGTGCTGGTTAGATATTTGTCATTGTAATTTGGTGATGTCATTCAATTAACTTTACTGTATTAAACTGCTAGAAAGAAAGAGCCTATTTGTTCCTATTAGGTCACCCCCTCTCTGTCTTTCCCTTTTGGGAAAATGTGCTGTCTCTCTCCCTCTCTTTTTTCTTTCTTAATTATGCCCATTTTTTTCTCCCAGAATGAGAGACAAGATACCTTGCCAAATGTTAAGATAAAAGTTTAGTTGGAAATCTATTTTACAAAGTCCTAATTGAGGCTAATCAATGGGAGATTGGAATCACGAGTTGAGTGTGGTTACTTGATGTTTGTGGGCTTTTATTGTGTTTTAGTTTGGGTTGTAGAGCTCCGTGTTTTTTTCCTGATGCAATTTCCTTTAAGGCTTAAATTACTGTTTCCTTGATTTACAAATGTGAATGCAACTCTTACATTTCATTCATGTGATCTTCTGGAGGAAGACCTTTAGAATTTGAAGGTTACTTGGTTGTATTATTTATGTCAATTTGAGCAAGTATGATGTGTGAACTATGTGCTCGTGCCACTGTCTTGTTGAACTAAAAAAAGCCCTAGAAGCCGAGTGTAAGGCTACACCTAAAGGTCTCTTTTTCCCCTTTCCAGATCCTCAGATTTTGGAACACTATACACCAAGTTGAATCTACAACCAGGGATTGCTACAGTAATTGAAAACTTTTACATCTGCCCCACTAACAAAAAAAAGGTAAGCATTCATTTTCCCTATATATGTGGATCAACTCAGCAAATGGCTGTGGTCATTTTGAGTTTGGATGAAATTCCTAGAGAAGGATGTTGTATTGCCTTCATAGAGCAGCGGCTGTTGGAAGTGCATCAATGATGCTAACTCTGCATCAATAATGTAAAAGGTTACATGCTGCGCAGTATTAAGTTTAAATAATTTTTTTGTTAATCAAAATTGGGTCACTTTACCTTCCTCTGTTATTTATGTGTCTTATATATACCAGAAAAAAATAACAACAGGGAATCTCATCCTTGTCTGAAATATTTTGACTTTTTGTAGATGCTTGCATAACTATTTTAGTGGTAGGACTTTGGAACCAAAGATCATGCTTAATGTTTCTTTTTGGTTTGGAGAATGGAAAATTCCATAACCTTTTGGAAAATGGCATTCATTACCATTTGGGAAAATCGGGAATCTCCCCTAGAAGAGTTAAAAACTCATTTGAGTCAACCTTCTCCTTAGTGGTAAATATCTACTAGCATTCGCAAGGCAATTAGGTTTCTCAGCTGTTAAACTGATATACCTAGATATATCTCTTTGAACTGTTAGGGACAAAGATATGCCAATGTTCAAAAACATATATGTATATATTAGAGTTTCAGAAGTGTTTTTTTCAGTTGCCCAAAAACATCTACTCTCCCCTAAAACATATTGGTTTAAATCATGCTGAGTCCTGAACAGTCCCAGATCTGATCACATCATCTGTAGCCCCTCCCACAACATAGAGATAAGGAAAATGACATACTAATATACACAGTAAGCAATCTGAATTATACACAAACAAATGACTAGTATAGGAGGCTTATAGGAGGTTGCTATTTCCAACATTGTTTATCATAGTAAAATCATTAACTTCTCTTTGATTATTGTTTTTTTAAAGAGTATAGTTATTAATATCTCATCATGTATAATATAGGTTCAGTTATATATATATATATATATAGAGAGAGAGAGAGAGAGAGAGAGAGTAAACAACCTTTATCATCTATACCTAACTCTCACTTTTATATTGAAAATTAAATAAAATAAAAAGGTAAAGAAAAAAAAGAGCAGACAAGGAAAAAAATACCCCTTAATTTAAAAAAAGATAGAGATAAGAAAAAAAAGAAAAGAAAAGAAAGAAAAGACAAAAAATATCAATACTTCAATTTACAGCTCAATTGGAAGTAATGGGCTATTGGTAGGTGAGCATCCAGTGGTTTGGCAACCTGAGTCTCATCTGGTTTGGGACCAGGATTGGGATGAAGCTTTGGAGAAGATCCCACACAAGAAGACCTAAAGAGGATTTAGAAAATAGGCCATGCTTGCTTTAAATGTGGGACAGGGGGATTAGTCAAAAGTCAATACATCCTTACTTTAGAGCTGAGCTTTCCAGACTTTCCATGTTGGTGACACACTTTTTAGACATGCATCCTTTCACAACACAGTAATTCAGTTCAGTAGCAAACTGCAGATTAAACCAAATCTTCTAAGTGTTTCATACAATAAATATGAATTATTAAATATGTATTATACATATATATGCATTATATTATATATAAGAAATGTTTTATATAATCTTTACTGTATAAACAAAGCTTGGAATGTTTTCCTTTACATTCCTTATGTACTACCATTGATTCTTGTGTAGTTTCTTCTATAGCTGCTCCATGTGGTTCATCGCAAACATCATTGTCAATAGATTTTCTTTTCTTAATTAGTAATACACGCATTTTAGTGATAATTAGTGCAACTCAGTCAACAAATTGTGCAAATTATAAGAGTTATAACTGTACCTATACTTCCACAGCACCAGCACTCCACTTCTGTAGTGATTTAACCTTTTTGGATGTTTTTAAATGGAGGTTGTAGCCATCTGTTGAAAAGTGAGATTTGCTAGGTCTTCTTGTCATTGCAAAAGCAGAAAAGGCAGAATTATTTGTTGCTCGTGCTTCTTCAGTTTTTGTTTACCTACGAATAGAAAGGTGTTTTGCACTTGCAAGAGAAGTTACTATATTTCAATGGAAGCTGATACTGGAACAAAGAAAGGGAGTTTATTTTGATGTAAGCCATCTCCCATTCTGTTATAAAGGGTGTCTTTAGTTTTGGTATGCATACCCTGACTCATACTCTTGTTTCTATCCAAAACTCTGTAGTTCAATGCCTTGCCAGTATTCTCCTCAAACCTGTTTGACTGAAATAAAAAACCCTATCTGCCCTTTTTAGAGGCAAGTCTCTGCCTTTAAAACATTTTGTTTACCCAAAGTTCTCCTTCACAGACTTTCTGAGTCATAATTAGCTATTTCAAAGTCAAATCTTCCTAGCACCTCCTTCCCACTCCTCTCATTGCTTTATTGAGACCTCAAAAAGTCTCAACCAAGAGCAACAAGATCTTGCACATCGATATACTCACAAACCATTATAAAACAGTATAACACATTAACCTTATTTCTATACTTAACATACATATTTCTACATTTTTATATTAACATGACATGTCATAATTCTCTCTCTCTCTCTATATATATATATACGAGGGGTATTTTTTAAGTAAGGCCCGTTTTGTTGTAGACACTAGTAGTTCGCGCGCATAACGCAATGAGCGCGTGCGTCGTGTACCGGCATGCTTCGGGAACAACTGTGCTCAGTTTCCGCTCTGTAGCTAACCTATATGATTCTGTTCTGTGCTTTAAAAATGTTTAAGACTATCAACTCACCCGCTGCATGTGATACGGTTTTTGTCAGCAAGGAACCGGCCTGCTGCAGAAATTCATCTACAGATTTGTGAAGTGTACGGTGATACTGTTATGAGTGAAAGCAAAGTGCGTAAGTGGGTATGACAATTCAAAGATGGCCATGACAACGTCCATGATGAGGACCGCTCCGGTTGCCCTTCTTTGCTTACAGACGATTTGGTGGCTTCAGTTGAAGCGAGGATTCGTGAGAACAGGCGCTTCACAATAACACGTCTCTCAAACGAATTTCCTGACGTGTCGAGATCAGTGCTTTACAACATTGTTTCTGAACACCTAAAGTTTAGGAAACTGTGCTCCCGTTGAGTCCCCAAACTCCTAACAGAGGGCCACAAAAACCAAAGATTTGAGTGTGCGATCAAATCAAATCGTCTGTAATCAAAGAAGGGCGACCGGAGCGGTCCTTATCATGGACGTTGTCACGGCCATCTTTGAATTGTCATACCCACTTACAATCAACAACAACTGAACATTTATTGGAGAAGCAAGGAAGGTTAATTCATGTTTGTTTGAAATGTGTGGTGCACTAATAAGAGAATTGCTAGAAATTAATTAGCAGTATGGTGTCTATTTCACTCAAATAACATTTTGAAAAACCAAAATGAGCATCACGATCTAAAACCCAGAAAGGAAAAGAGGGCACTTAGCACAGAGTCGGCATTACAACACTGCATCAGAGACAAAAAAAATTGCAAATTAAAAAACAACAACTTTTCAACTGGAATTTTTAGCCCCATTCACATGCACCTGCAATGCTGGGGGAGCCGTTTCCCTTTTCCTCTGACACTGGGGAGCGTTTGTGAGGGAAGCAACCACATGAGTAGGGCCAATTGTGTTGGTCTTTTCCACTTAATTATTCCTTTTCATCTTCCCCAGCCAACCAGTGGGTAATTAGACAGGAAAGGCCTGTGCCATTGGCCCCACTCACACAGTTCCTTCCTTCACACATATCCCAGCTGTGTGGGGTTGCATTATGAAGAAGCCATCCATGTGGTGTGGGCCAGAGCCTCTTGTTCAATCACTCAACCCAGGCATCCCCTAACAAGACCCTGGATTTATTCCAGCTGGGGACATTTTTGTTTTCATTTTTCTTGGTACTAAATACTAAATACAGCTGCCATTGCCAGCACCTCGGACCTTAATTGGTTAGAAGACATAGGTCATTGGCACTATAATGAACTATGAAAGATGGAGTTCTATCATCTTTGTTAATGTTGAGGCTGATAAAACATCTGAAATCTATACTCCTCTCTCTGAGTTTTTGGGGAAAAAAATCTTGTTCCCACTTCCTCCTCTTAGTACACTGTTTTCTTTGTTAGGCATGGAACCGGGCATTTCTAAAATTGCAGGACTTCCTGGCTTTCTCTCTGTGTCACCCTTGTTTTAGTGCCCAAGACAGACAAGAATCGAAGTCTTGTTATGATGTGATCTTCAGGCACGCTTGAAGGAATGGGATAAATTACAGGCTGCTGTTAAACGAGATGACCCAAGCTGGAAGCATATTGATAATGCCCTGTAATTTGGCTTATTTGTCAATCAGTTGCTTCAAAATGACATTTGAAGGCCTGCTGGAGCAAAAGATGTCTAAAGCCGGACTTTGGAATGTAATGAATACTGCTTAGTTCTCATGACAGATGCCATTAATTATGGGTTGCCTAAGGAGAAAAGAACTCCAGTGCCTTTATAGTTTGTTCCTTGGCAAAATGGTAAAGGAATATAGCAAAACAAACATATCACTACATTCAAGACAGGAAATTGTAAAGAATTTATTTTAAGGAATTGGCCTTGTTAATAGTTATACGCCTCAACAAATTTGGGAAACAGCTGCAAGTCTTATGAGATATACTGAGGTTACACTGATGTTTTGTGCATCAAGTGCAGAAGGGAAATATGTGCACAGTTGCATCTTTAGACATCTGTGCTCAGCTGGGCTTTCTCAGGTTGGATCTACATATAGCCATCTATTCCAGCCATTCCACTGCATCCTGGAAAGATTCCCAGGGTCCTTCTGGTTTCCAGATGACTGGATGGACCACTGGTTCCCAACCTGTGGTCCTCAAGAACAGAAATCAGTGGTCCTCAAGAACAGAAATATGGTCAACGGCTTCACCGTTACTATAATGTTGCAATGAGAGTGACTGGTCTCACAAAACTCTCTTATAGTGCCGAGGCAACGGGGATGTCGAGAGGGGAGAGGCCGACTACCCAGAAAAGGTGCGACAATAAGCC